ATATACAAATTTAAAAAAATTTTAACTTTTTATTAAGTAAAAAAATATTTATAATTACTTTAATGTATGTAAAATTGTAAAACAAATCTAAACCAAATAATTAATGTTCTGTTTAGTATAATTATTTTTTATTTTTAGTTTTAATTTTTATAAAATTTACTATTTAAATAAAAATCTTTTATACTTTTTATTATAAAATATTATCACAATTAATTAATTATTACAGTTGGTAAATAAGCACTAAACTTTCCAATTATATTTGACTGACTTATTTAACTTGACAAATAACTCGAAACTAAGCTGCCCAATTGCATACCCAATTGCAGACGCACCGGTGCAGTGGTGGTCACGCTCTCCTTTGGATGGTCGGTAAATTGTACCTACTTTTAAAATTCAATCTTCTCATAGTACAACATATATTAATATTTATTTAATTATATTTTATTGTCAAACAAAAAAAAAAGCTGCCCAATTGATTTTTCTTTTTTTTTTTACAGTTAATTTTCAGTTACATTAGGGGTGGGCAAAACCGGTTTCGGTCTAAAACCGAAACCGATTTTAAATTAACCGAAAAAATTCGGTTTTAATTTTATGAACCGAAACCGAATCGAAATATATTTGGTTAATATTAAAACCAAAAAAATAAAACCAAAACCGTTGAAATCGAACCAAATTCATTTTTCGGTTCGGTTTTCGGGTAACATCGGTTCGGTTAAAAAATGCCCAGCCCTAGTTACATGAACCGCTTGGCGTGGAGTTGTGCGCAATCCATGTTCATTTTCAGCAGTGCACGGACCAAAAAAGAAACACTAGCTAAGTAGCTAGTGATATAGGACAAGGGACTAAGGGAGAGAAACTAACTATGGTCTTTGAATTGAAGCCAAGGGCTGAACAGCATCACTTTCCTTTCACATACGTACAAGGGGAAAAATGGTAAAAACTACTGTATAAAGAGGGCGTAAAGAAGTGGTGTTTGAATTTTGGGATGTGGATGGGACACACCTGCCCATCTGCAGATTTACAGAGTTGTCGGGAGAGTTTTTTTTTTTTTATTCAAAAGAAAGAAAGATATTTTTCGGGGGAGAAGATTTGGTGAATTTTAAACTGGTGGTCACTTAATTTTGTCAAAATCAACATTTTAGTTATTGAACTTTTTAAGTTGCCTCTCTATTTGATCACCCATGGTTACCCATCTGTTGGATCACCAACAGGGTTAAACGCTGGGTAAGATCTAATGTGGCTTAACTCAGCTTATGGGACAGGGTTATAACAACCTATTAAAATATTAAGGTTATTAAAAATTATAAAATATTATATTATTTTATAAAAAACCAAAAATTAATAAAAATAACTAATAATAGTAATTATAATTAGTAACTAATAATTAATAAAATTAAAGTTAATTTTTTTTTAAATTAATAATAAAAAATTTTAATAAATATATTTTTAACTTATATTTTTAATATACAAATTT